ATCAGGGGGATTTATATCAGGGGCACAAGGATAGTTCAACATATGAAAATTGATCAGTATAATCCAACACAGTAATAAAAAGTAAAATAAAAACCATCATCCATTTATGATGAAGTCCCTTGGAAATCTCAGGATAGAAGGAACATACCTTAACATATAAAAACCATGTATGACAAACCCACAGCCAATATTATTCTCAATGGCAAAAAAGCTGAAGGCTTTTCCCTTAAGATCAGGAAAAAGACAAGGATGTCCTCTCTCACTACTGCTCTTCAATAAAATACTGGAGGTCCTAGCCAGAGCAATAAGACAAGAGAAAGATATACAAGGAATCCAAATGGGGAAAGAAGTAAAACTATCACTATTTGCAGACGATATGATAATATACACAGAGAACCCTAAAACTCCACAGAAAAACTACTCAAAATAATCAACCAGTTTAGTAAAGTAGCAGGATACACAATCATCCCACAAAAATCAGTAGCCTTCCTTTATACAAACAGTATCTGAAGAGAAGAAATCAAGAAAACCATCTGTTTTATAATTGAAACAAACAAAAAAATCAAATACTTGGGAATAAATCTAATAAAAGAGGTGAAGGGCCTATACAAAGAAAATTATAAAACACCGTTAAAGGAAATAGAAGAAGACACAAAGAAATAAAAAGACATCCCCTGCTCATGGATTGGAAGAATAAACATTGTTAAAATGTCCATCCTACCAAAACAATTTATAGATTCAAAGATATTCCAATAAAAATCTCAATGACATGGTGCCTCCCTGGTGGTGCAAGGGGTTAAGCACCACACTAAGAAGCAACCTGGCATCTTTGCAGCATGAATTCAATCCCCGACTGGCCAGGGAGCATCCCACATGGCTCAGTAGACCTCTCTTGACTTGCCCACTGCTACCCTCAGCAGTGTACTTCAATCTGCCTGTTCTGTTCCCCATTCTGTCTCTGGTGCATCCTCTCACCCCCCACATCTCTGTCCTTTATCCCAGCTCTTGTATGAATGACTAAATAAATAAATCTTTCAAAAATATCTAAATGACTTTCTCAAAGAAATGGAACAAATGCTGATGAAATTCATATGGAACCACAAAAAACCATGAATAGCCAAGGCCCTAATAATGAAAACAAAGGAGAATAGAGGTATCACAGGTCAAGCTTCAACTATACTACAGAGCCATAATAATTAATACAGTATGGTATTGGAGCAAAAGCAGACACACAGACCAATGGAAACAAATAGAAAGCACAGAAATAAAGCCACACATTGGAACAACTAATCTTTGACAAAGGAGTAAAGAATATGCAATGGAACAAGGACAGCTCGTTCATTCAATAAATGGTGCTAGGAAAACTGGACCACCACATGCAAAAGAAAGAAACTAGTCCACTACCTCTTACCATGCACAAAAATCAACTCAAAATGGATAGAAGATCTGGACATAAGACCTGAAACCATAAAATGTATAGAAGAAAATATAGGCAAAACACTACAAGACATACATCTCAGTAACATCTTTAATGACTCATCACCCAAAGCAAAGAAAGTGAAGGAAAAGGTAAAAGCTGGGATTACAACAAACTGAAAAACTTCTGTAGGCAAAAGAGACAAATGAAAACTGGGCCTCCTTGGTGGCAAAGGGGTTAAGGACAGCGCAATCAAGCTATTGCCAGCCACTGCAGCATGAGTTTTGTCCCTGGCTGGCCAGCAACTCACATGGCCCAGTAGACCTCTTCTGCCTTGCTCGCTGCTGCCCTCAGCAGTGTGTTTTAGCAGATCTGCCTGTTCTGTTCCCCACTCTCTCTGGTGAATCTTCTCACCCCCCGCACCTCTGGCCTGTATCCCCGTTCTTGGATGCACAAATAAATAAATCTTTATATCTTTTTAAAGATTGATTTATTTTTATGCAAGAACTGGGGTACAGGCCAGATGTACGGGAGGATGAGAGGATTCACCAGAGACAGAGCAGGGAACAGAACAGGCAGACTGATGAAATACACTCTGAGGGGAGCAGTGGGTGCATCAGGAGAGGTCTGCTGCACCATGTGGGATTCTCGCCTGCTGGCCAGGATCAAAACAGTGCTGCAGAGGCTGTGGATAGCTTCACAGTGCAACGCTCAACCACCTGCGCTTCCAGAGAGGCCCTAAATAAATCTTTAAAGAAAAAAAAAAGAGACACTAACAAAAACAAAGAGACACCCTACTGATTGGGAAAAAATCTTGGCACTCCATACAACTGATAAGGGACTGAGCACAAAGATATAAAAAGAACTCACATGACTCAACAAAAACAAAGTAAACAATCCTGTCAAGAAATGGACAGAAGAACTTAAAGACACTTAAAAATAAAATTTATTATTTAAAAAAAATAAATAAAAAATAACACAACAAAAGACTCTTACACACTAAAAAATCCAGTGGTTACCACAGAAAAAGGGGATGAGAGCAACAGAGGGTGGGGGGATCAATTTGACAGTGGGAATGACATGAACTTTGATGCTTATATACACATTGTGGTATGAAGCTATACTCTTAAACTTTATATAATTTTGTAAATCAATGAAATTGCATTTAAAAAATAAAAAGTTCTGAAAAAGAAAAAAAAAAAAGACACTTCTCCAAAGAGAAAATGCAAATGGCCAACAGGCATATGAAAAAAGGTTCAACATCCCTCCAAATCCTGGAAATACAAATCAAAACCACGTGAGATACCACCTTACACCAGTAAGAATGAAACATATCAAAAAAACCAGCAAAAACAAATGTTGGTGAGGATGTGGTGAAAAAGGAACTCTCCTACATTGCTGGTGGGAGTGAAAACTGTCCCAACCACTATGGAAAGCTGTCTGGATGTTCTTCAGTCTACTAAAAATGGAGCTCTCGTGTGACCCAGCAATCCACTCCTAGGGATCTACCCAAAGGACACAAAAATACTGATTCAAAAGAAAACATGTACCCCTGTGCCTATTGCCTTACTATTTATAATAGTTAAAACCTGGAAGCAACACAAATGCCCAAAAATAGATGACTGTATCAAGATATTGTAGTATATATACACAATGGAATACTATTCAGCAATCAAAAAAGATAAACTCATGCCATTCAGAGCAACATGTATTGGGGGGAAAATAATAACAATACAAAACACAAAACAAAAAGAAACAGTTATAAACCGGAGACATATGCAGGGGATGAGGAGGGAGAGGTATTAGAGGGAGTGAGAGAGGGGGGAGCACAGGGGACTGTGGTGATGGTGCATAGGCGCATTGCTGAAGGAAATTCTATGGGAACTACACCTGGAGCAAACATTGTTTAAAAATGAACAATGATGCAAAACGTACATAAATTTAAAAAAATAAAAAAAAAGATTTGAGGTGGCAGAAATGACTATTCTCACAGTAAATTTTTGGAAAACCGATGCAATTCACTGCACCAGGTTTAGTATCAAAATTAGATTGAGCTACAATGTTTTAATCACTTGGACATTTTAGAATTGAGAAATCAGCTTCTTTACTAAGGCACTCAATTGACCCAGAGGATGACAGGTTCAGATAGTTCTAATAAGTGGAGAGCTTTTCTCTGTTCCCTAAAGTGTGATTTCTGTATCTTGACCAACTCTTTCAGTTGCTGATCTGGAGGGGGCTCCAAAATCTTCCGCACCCATGTGAGAAAGAAATCACCCATGAGACTCGTTCCAGAGGACAGAAGTGAATCCCTGGGCAAACCTCCATGACAAGCGTCAGGGGCTGATGAATCCTCACTTGTCAAATCAATATATGAATAACAACTCTGTCTAAACTTGGGTTGTGAGACAGGAGACCTGGGCCACATGACCCTTATGACAATACTCTCACCTGGACTTTTTACAGTGATGCCATGACTTCATCCTCAGCCCTGAAGAACCTATTAACCACCATGCCTTCACCACCTTGATTTTCAGCACTGTGGGTAAGAATAAATACGTGACCCATTTTTCTTAAAGATTAGAAGGGTAAAGTGGATAATACAGAAAAATAATGCCCACTTAGGAGAGGTCAAGTCCTTCTCTAAGAGCAGAGATGAGTCCTGCAGAGTTGGAGATCCCCACTGTCACACCCAGCCATGTGTGGTGGAGATGGGGTGAGCATGTGTTTGGTGGTGGGTCAGCTCTGTGTTAAGGTCTGAGTGGGGCCTGATGTAGCCCTTTGAGAGGGAAAATGACATGAAAGGGCCCATTTAACTTCACAGGGGGTGGATTTCATGGCCTCTGAATGTCAGGAATGTTTGACTATTAGAAACATTAATTATGACTATTCATCATTTTCATTCCTGAATTCTATTTTCTTTCATTAGAGACTTATGAATGTGCAAGCTGTCTTCCCAATGAATGTAGTGCTGGTATGCAGAAAACTTGTAAAGCTTCTCAAAGCTGCTTCAGCAACAGGCAAGAATTTATACCAGGTATGCTGTGTTAGCTCCCTGCCCACCTTGCTAGGCCCACAGGACAGATGCAGATGTTTAGAGGAGGGACATGGCTGTATTGGTAACTGGATAGAATTCCTCACATCCTGGTGCATCTTCTATTTAACCCGTTTCTTCTATTGCATCTTACCTGGGTGGCTGAGAGTATAGTATGTGGGAGGTGGCAGGTAGGGAGATTCTCTGGGAGGAAGTCTAGAGATTATGGTTGCTAGGGTATGACACTCCTTAGCATAACAAATGCTAACAAGCCATCCCTCCTTGGGTTCTTCACATGGACAATGTAGATGGACTTTTTTTTTTTTTAAGAAGTGGAAAGCTAAAGACAAAGGGACTCGAGATGCAGAAACCTTTAACACTGCCTTTATTTTTGAGAGTTTCTCTGTATGACTCAGAGAGGAATTTCCCTCTGGGCTTTGCTCCTCTGCAGAGCAGGTCCCAGTACTTGTTGACTGGAAAGGCTGTTCTTCAAGGAGTTGCGCTCCACTGGCCTTTTCAGCATCTCTGGGGAGTAAGAAAAGGTTTTGGTATGAGCACCGATGCTGTCAAACTGAGCAGTGTAATCAAGGGGATATAAAAGGTGAGTACTTCATCTCTACTTTTCATCCATTCATGCCCCTGCTTCCAATCCCAATCCCATTGCATTAAGTCTCTGCCTTCTAGTTATCTTCTCATGACTTGCTTCTTCCCTCCCTTCCCCTCCTCTCCCCTCATCTTCCCCCTTCCTTTCCCTAGCCCCCTTTTTCTCACAAATTGCCTTTCCTCCCTCTGAAGGGACAGATACATGCCCTTCTCCTACATAGGGGACAGGTTGGCTGGAATTGGTGCTGAGATTTTTCTCTAAAAGCGTAACAACCCAAATGCCCAAAAATAGATGACTGGATCAAGAAGATGTGGTACATATATACCATGGAATATTACTCAGCATTCAAAAAAGATAAACACATGCAATTTGCTGCAACATGGATGGCGCTGGAAGGGATCATGCTCAGCGAAATAAGCCAAAAAGAAAAAGAAAAATACCGGATGGTCTCACTCATAGCAGGAATCTAGAAAACTTAAATAAGGGACCAGGAAAATGAAAAACTATAAGAAAGTGAAAATCAAAATCAACAAAAAACTATGAACCAGAGACACTTTTAGGGGGGCGGGGCGGGAGGGGAGGGATTGGGGTCAGAATGGGGGGCGGCAATTGTATGGGGAATATAACAATAAAATTTATAAAAAAAAAAAAAAAAAAAAAAAAATAAATAAATAAATAAATAATCTTTAAAAAAAAAAATAAAAAAAAAAAGTGTAGATAATGTTTTTCTTTCTCATTCCAGAAGAGAAGATTTCTTTCCTCATCTATTTAATTCTTCACTTCCTTAACAATATTGCTCTAGAACAGAGAATATTTTTTCATTACCTAATCTCTTCTCTCTAGCTAGAGCAGAGGGGAATGATTCATGAAGAGAGCAGACAACCCCAAATTCCTAGAAGATCCTTTTGATTTATCGTCCTACTTACTGTCTACCCCTCCTCCACCCTCTGTGCTTTCCTAGTTACAAATAATTTTTAATTTGGGGAGAAGAATCCTGGAATAACAATGACCTTGGAAAGGTTTAAAACGTTCTCAGCTCCTCCTTAATGTTATTCCTTAGTATGACATATTTCTGTGCACATGCAGTGCCTCAGAAGTCTTCAGACCCCAATGGCATCACATGTCCTGCCTGATAGACTGAGAATAAATTTTTCCTGTGACCCAGTTCTCCTGGCTTGCACTGGTGAAGAGACAAAGCATATCAAGATTGTTGGTTCAGGTAAGGCTTTTCCCCCAGGCTCTTTGGTGTTTATCTTCTTAAAGGTTGAAGTGTATTAGGTAGCTATTGCTTTGTGACAAGTTTACTATAAAACTTGGCAGCTTAACCCAACAAACACTTATTATTTCATAGTATCTGTGGTTCAGGAATCTGGGGATGGCTTAACTGGGTGGTTCTGGATCAGTCTTATGAATTTCAATGTAGCTGTCAGCAGGGGTTGTGATGGTTTGGACAGTGCATCATTTTTCCTTGTGGTTGTATAGCTTGGTTCCTATCCACGTGTGTCTCTCCATAGGCTGCCTATGATGAGAGAAGGGAGGAAAAAGGAAGAAATTGCAATTTTTAATAATCTAATCTCATAAGTGACACATCATCACTTCTGCTGAATCCTGCTGGTTACACAGACCATCTTGGTACAACACGGAAGGGGGCTACATGGAGGCATGGATAGCATGAGGAAGGGAATGATTGGAGGGCAGGCCAGAGGCTGACTATCATAAATAGCAAGGGGTGGTATAGTGCAAATGCAGGTTACCCCCTCAAGGTTGGGGGGAGCCATCTATCAATGAGGAGAGAAAAGGTGAGCAGGGGAGGAGAGAGGACAGCACAGCTGCTTCCCAAGAGAATCTGAAACTTGGGAACATGTCATCTCATGATCTCCTGGAATAGGATCTGGGCTCATTAGCAACATAGGCGTTGTCATCTCAACTTTGGTTCTCATTATCACTACCATTATTGCTATCACCCAATCTTATCAGCAAGCACTTAATTTTCGTATGGCAACTTTTTGAAATCTGTAGAATTTGTGAGTTTCCTGACTTGGAAAACAAGAATATGTTTATGATGGAGAGCACATATGCCATCAATATAAGGATTGGGAAAATAGCCATACTATTGAGCTGTACAGCCAGAAGTGGCACCATCATTTCTTTTTGCATCTACTTCTAAAAGGTTTCATTAAGTTGGTGGTATTTTAGAAACCAGTGAAATGTTGGGAAACTTCAGTGGGGCAATTTTCCATTTCTTAATTTTTGGAGAAGATTTTAAGGAGGGAACAGGGCTTCTGGTGAAGCGCCCCTTGTTTAGTAGAGGTGAAGATGGCTAAGGAGGTTGGGATGAAAGGAAGGCGAGGGCTGCCCAGAGTGGAGCAGTGTCTCTACTCCAATTTGCTGTGGAAAGCACCAGCATGAGTAAGATTCTGTGGTGCTAATCTCCCAAGAAACTCAGTTCTGGAAGAAAGGATTGGATGTTGAGGGGTATCTGCATTGCTTCCCTCAGGTTTCCCCAAGGAAGAAAAGGTAAGGAAGAGAGAAGTTAAATCCAGGACATTTTTGCTGAATACATGATTTCTGACCTCCGGCTTTCTTCCATTATCAACTACCTCTCCTCCAGTCAGGACCCAGCAATTCTAGTCTTAGTCATGCAGCTGAAATGTCAGAGATCTTTTGGGTTCCTTCCTAAACTGGGAAGAAATTGAAGCCACAGGGAATCAAGATAGAGTTGGAGTTTCAGGTGATGATTTTCTTGCAGAAGACAGAGTCAGGGATTCTGGGGCACTCTGAATACCCTTTCCTTTCCCAAGGGGTCAGATAGTATAAGATGTGGGTGGGGAGGAGAGAAAAGACGAAAAAGAAGACTAACTCCTGCATCTTTCTTTTCACAGCTAATTTCAGATTTATGATATTTGCCATGGGTTGTGCAACTGAAACTGCCTGCAACTTGAAGAATTTAACTGTACTGGGTGACATAGAAATCCTCACCTACTATATAGACCACAGGAGTGGGAGCCCCCCACTGACATCCATCACAGCATCAATCCTGATTATTTTTTTCCTGCTGAAAGCCTAGCTTTGATTTTTTAGGCCCAGCCAAGCTCTTATCCTAATAACCAGAAAAACTTGGACTCCCCTCCCCGGCATTCCCAAGAATCTCAGAATTAAAGACCTTATGCTCCCTTCAGTATGTCTGTGATTACTTGCTAGTATTTTATTTTAAAAAAAGAATTACTATCCATTCTTCTTAGTCATGCAACTGAAAAGTCAGAGATCTTTTGGGGTCCCTCCTAAACTGGGGAGAAGTTGGGGCCACAAGGAAACAAGATAGAGTTAGAGTTTGAGGTGATGATTTTCCTGCAGAAGACACAGTCAGAAGATGCACTCTTTTTTTTTGCTTAGAGTTAGTACCATGTTTTAGAGGAAGACTGAGACAACATCTTTCCCACCCTGTTTTCCTTTCATTTCTCCATTAATTTTCACCCCTTCTCACCAGTTTCCCTGGACTCCTTTCTTTCTCGGGAAAAAAAAGCAATGCTGCTTCCTCTGATGTGGGCATGTTCACCTTTGTGTCTTGGAGAGGGTCACAGCTGCTGCTATGGGTGAGACAACCAAGAATGAGAAGATGGAGGTGAGAATATGGGTTAAGAAAGCAGCCTTCATGTTCTGGGAGGTGAGGAGTCACTGAAAGAGGGAACTAGCCTCCCTTCCCACCCTGGGTCTCCATGGGTCTGCAGGATTTATAGTCAGTGAGATGTGCTTCACAGACTTTCATTCCTGGTGAAGATTGTTCAATAGCCTTGGGCAGAAAATGTAGTTGGCCTACACAGAGTGTGGCTTTGAGTTGTTGTTAGGGAGTTGATGCCATTAAGACTTGGGTCCCCAGGAACTGCCTGAGTGAAGGAGGGGGTCATTCTCATGCCAGGCAAACTTCGGACAACTCTGAAGACAAAACCACATTACAAAGTATTAGTTTGATCCAAAAGAAAATGTACATCATTAGATCTGTGTATTGTCATTTCATTTAGACCCATTGTCCTGGGAGGCAGGGATACACCATTCAGTGAACGAAACGAAAAGTGGATTAACTTAGCTTCATAAAAAATATGAGTCCAAAATGCACGTACTCTATCCACTTATTTTTTTAATCTGTTAAAGAAATAAAAATTTCAGTCTAAAGAAAACATAACTATTTCAGTAAAAACTTGTTTTATCCTTCCCACTAAATGGAGATTATATGGACAGAGAAAGAATATAGAAATCTACAGGAAAAGACACAAAATTAAAAGAGAAGAAAACACACACACATTCACACAGATGTGAACAGGCGAAGGGAAACCAGGGCATGTCTGCAGGTTGAAGACAATACCTGTGAAAATGCAGAGGGGAGAAGCAGCAAAGGAAATGCAAGGAAATGTAGGGCTAGACCAGTAGTAAGAAATGTCTCCATCTTGTGGCCATTCTCAGAGAAGCTAGTAATTCAGTCAATTTTGTTTCTGTTTCTTTACCCGTCCACCCTTGCATATATGCGTTCACCAATCCATCTCATATTTTTCTGTGGCAGCACCATTCTAGGTACTGGGGACAGAATAGTGAGCCAACTTGCTTGCCGACTAGGGGTTTCTGTAAGAGGGAACTGTCCCGACCCGCGGGATTCAGAGGCACGAAAAGAGAAGGGCTGAGGATTGAAATGAGGGGCTTGAGAAAACTTGACGCTAGCGGTTGCTTCTTTATTTTTCCTTTTCCTTCTCTTATTTTTCCATGTCTTTCTTTTCCCTGTCTTTCTTACTTCCCTGGCCTTCTCTCTGCTCCTCTCGCAGTACCCCTCGCCCTATCTCCTTCTCGCAGTCTCTCTCTCTCTCTCTCTCTCTCTCTCTCTCTCTCTCTCTCTCCCTCTCTCTTCCCTTCTTATACCCCGGTCGCTCCTCCCATCGTACCTCTCAGTCTCGCGTGATTTACAGGAAAACGCAGGGGTTTCTCCAAAGGCGAAACAGTAAATCGAAACCTAATTCATCAAGCACATGTGCAACACGGCGCATGCTCCAGGCGGCTCCGGACAGGAACACCCTCACCCCCACTTTGTGGTTCTTGCGTTAGGGATAAAGTTGAGCATCCAGGGCCTCCCCGGTGGTGCAGCATTTGAGCGTTGGGCTGCGAAGCTGCCTGAAGCCTCTGCAGCCCAGGTTCGATCCCCGGCCACCAGCAAGGGTCCCACATGGCGCACAGACCTTTCCTGCTGCCCGCTGCTCCCCTCAGCAGTGTATTTCAGTCAGTCTCTGGCTCTGGCTCTGGCTCTGGCTCTGGCTCTGGTGAATTCTCTCATCCTCCCGCATTTGTAACTGTGCCCAGTGCTTGTATAAACAAACAAACAAACAAACAAATAAATAAATCTTTAAAAAAAAAATGTTGAGCATCTGCCCTCGGCCACACCAGCTTTGTTCCCAGCGTGAGATGTCCAAAGCCATGGCATTGGTTTTCACTCTCTGGCTTGGTTTATGTTTTGAAAAACTGCAAGGGTTTTGGAGATACAAAGTTCAGATTTCAACTTGACAGGTTCTGGAGCAGGGAGCAGGGGTTTATAAGCCCACACAGTTTTGGGAATGGGCCAGTCACAGGTTCAAGCTCATGCCTGTTCCAGTCAAGTCTTGGAAACAGTGGCAGTTCTGGAAACAGAGCAATCCAGCTAAAAGGCAGGTACCTTGCAGGAAATAGAAACTGAGGCAGTTATTGGCTTCATTCATTGATTAGGAGACTCTCCTTGGACACCCGTTCATTGAGATCTTCATTCATTGGATGACCTTTGCATCTTATCTCTGCTTGGGACTGCTGCCTGATAGCTACCTCTGCCTCTGCCACTGCTGCACATCACCTACTTATCAGTGTCTCTGGCCTATGCCTGGCATCTCTGAAAAAGCTGTGCACTGGTGCCTGATCCTCTGGCACCACCTCTGAAAGAGTTGTCTGCCACTGGCCTGTGTCCAGCATCTCTGAGTTGTGCACCTCTGGCCTGAGCCTGGTGTCTCTAAAGAGCTGTAACACTGGTGCCTGACCCTCCACATCATTGCCTGCTGACTGGGGCTGACCAGTACTGCTGACCAGAACTGCTGGCCTGTGCCCAGCCATCTCTAAGAGCTGCCCACCACTTTTCATCATCAGGTACCACTGGCTGACAGTTACCCTGCCTCTAGCACATCCAGCACCACCTCCTTCCTGCTCCTGTTGTGTCAGAGATGTCCACCCTGGCCTTCAGATTTCTGCTGCACTGCATGCTTACATTTACAAGGCTCAGAGTGCAGCAACAAAAGGGCTTATTAACAAAGGGGAAATTGGAAAAAAGAAAAAAGTTTCTAAGGCCACAGATAGTGGCCTAACACACTGTAGTTCTAAGATACTACAGTGTCTAGTAGTCCATAACAAAAGCTACTTGTGAAAGATGGCATTGTCCCTTCAATGAGTGCCTGGAGCTGGTGGCACACCAATAAGTGGTAGACCTGGGCTCAACTTATGGTGGCAGCTGGAGGTAGTACAGGTGTCACTGCTGTGGTACCACTGCAGCAGTGCAGTATAGAAATGCAAAAGCCAGGCTGGATGGTTCCAGATGCAACAGCAGCAGGAGGTGGTGCTAGATGTGCTAGAGGTAGGATAGCTGTCAGCCAGTGGTACCTGATGATGAAAAGTGGAGGGCAGCTCTTAGAGGTGGCTGGGCACAGGCCGACAGTGCTGATCATTAGTACTAGTCAGCACCAGTCAGCAGGTGATGATGTGGAGGGTCAGGCACCAGTGTTACAGCTCTTTAGAGGCACCAGGCTCAGGCTAGAGGTACACAACTGGATTGTTTGTTTACTTTGATTTTGTTGAGTCATGTGAGCTCTTTGTAGATCTTTGTGATCAGTCCCTCATCAGTTGTATGGAGTGCAAAAATTTTTTCCCATTCAGTAGGTTGTCTCTTTGTTTTGGTTAGTGTCTCCTTTGCTGAACAGAAGCTTTTTAGTTTCATGTAATCCCATTTGTTTATCTTTTCCTTCACTTTCTTTGCTTTGGGGGATGTGTCTTTAAAGAGGCTCCTGAGATGTATATTGTGTAGTGTTTTGCCTATATTTTCTTCTACATGTTTTATGATATCAAGTCTTGCATTCTAATTTTTTAGAGCTTCTTACAGTATTTTTTGGAGTGGGGGTTTAGTAGTAATGAATTTCTGGAGGTTCTGTTTGTCTGAGAAGGTCCTTATTTTTTCTTCATAGAGGAAGACAAGCTTTGCGGGGTAAAGTATTACTAGTTGACATTTGTTGACTTAGATGCTTTTAAATATGTCACTCCATTCTCTTCTTTTTTTAAATTTTTTAAAAGATTTGTTTATTTATGCATATAAGATCTGGGGTACAGGCCAGAGATGTGGGCGGAAGTGGGGGGGGGAGAGGATTCACCAGAGACAGAGTGGGCAGAACAGGCAGACTGACTGAAATACACTGCTGAGGGGAGCAGCGGGAGTGACAGGAGAGGTCTACCACCATGTGGGGTGCTCTCTGGCTAGCCGGGGATTGAACTCGTGCTGCAGAGGTTGCGGATTGCTTTATACTGTGGCACTTAACCCCTTGCACCACTAGGGAGGCCCCTCCACTCTCTTCTTGCCTATAGTGTTTCTTTGGAGAAGTCTGATGTCAGCCCGATTGGTTTTCCTTTATAGGTTGTCTGTCTTTGCCCAGGTCATTTTCATTATTTTTTCCTCATCTTGGACTCTTGGAAACTTACTATTATGTATCTTGCTGTAGTTTTCCTTACATTGTGGTAATCTGGTGTTCTTCTGGCTACCTGGATATCCATTTTTATTTCCACCTTCATGTTTGGGAAGTTCTCTTCGATTGTCCTTAAATAGTTTTTTGGTTCCTTGGTCTCTTTTCTCATCTTCTGGGATTACCATTATGCATATTTCTTTTCCTCATGATGTCAGATAGTTCTCAAAGTGTTTCTTAATTCTTTTTCCTTTGTATTTCTCTTTCCTTTTCTTTTATGCCTGTACCATTTTTTTTAAAGATTTATTTATTTATGCATACAAGAACTGGGTGGTGAGAGGATTCACCAGAGAGAGTGGGAAGCAGAAGAGGGTGATCTACTGAAATACACTGCTGAGGGGAGCAGTGGGTGAGGCAGGAGAGGGCTGCTGCACCATGTGGGTGGCTCCCTGGCTGGCAGGGGATGGAACTTGTGCTGCAGTGGCTGGCAATAGCTTGATAGTGGTGTCTTAAACCCCTGTGCCACCAGGGATGCTCTATGTCTGTATCTTTGAGAGTACTGATTCATTCTTGCATTTCTTCTATTTTTGTGGCTTTTCCCAGAATTCTTGAGCTCCTCCAGTAATCTGTGCATATCCTCCACTTCCTTCAATTTTTCTTTAGGGATTCCATCTCATTCCTCAGTTAATTGTTTATATATTTTTCCCTTTCTACATTTTCTCTTAATTTTTTAAGCATTTTCATTATAGCACTTCTGAATTCCTTTTCTGCCAGGCAGAGATATTCTTCTATGTTCATATTATTTGGTTCTGGAAGTTGTTAAAGGGGAGAAAGGAGAAAACTAGAAGAAACAGAAAACAGACACAGTAAAGAAGGAAAGGCACAACAGACAACCCAGTGACCAAAAAACAAACAAATAAACAAACACACATATGGGTTGGGGGAGAATTGCTTCTCAAACCTCTGAAGGCTCTGAGCTGGGCATTGCTGTTTTAGTCTGGTCCACCAGGGAGCACCCTGGTGCTGGGTAGGATAGTCTCTAGGATCTGCTGACTCCCTTGCGGTATATTGAGGGAGGATAAAGAACTTGCACTGAGAGGTGAGTTGTAAACTGTGAAGTGTCCAACAGTCTCTGATCGTCTCCACTGCAGATGTGGGTGTGGGAGGACCAGCACTCTTTCTGGCTCTCTGAGGTCATTGGGCAAATGTGGGGGTTCGTGAGGCCTCTTTCCACCTGAGGATTTGGGATGTCTAGAGGTCCCCAATATAGGAACCAGCCATAGGAGGCTCCACCTGATGCCCCTCCCGCTGGTAGGTGCGACCAGCTAAATGGTATGTCCTTCCTGGAGTAACCTCAGCGACAGCCTCTGGGTTTCCAGTGTAGGTGGTTGGTGATTTTATTCTGATCACTAGGTGGCACCAGAGACATCTCCCAGTAAACTTTCGGAAGTGTGTTTTTCCCTCCAAAGATCTCCTGAAAAAGGAGGGGGAGGGTTGGGGAGGGGAGTGCCACAACAAAGTGGCTCCTACCCAGTGCTGTGCCTGCCCCGATGCCCAGTCTGGTCTGCCCACCTGCCACCTTCTAGAGTTCTCAGATGTCTCAGGATTCTCTTGTGGCCTCCCACTGTTTTGCCTGATCCAACATACCACTACTCTGTGTCCTTTAGTTGGTGAATTAGGTTCATTGACATTTAGGGCAATTACTTATGTGGGAGTCTGTTATTGCCATTTTGTTCATCATTTTGTAGTTCTATCCAATTCTGTGTTAAGTTCATCATAGCCATTACTTTGTTGGTTTAGATACTAAGGCTTCTTATAATATTATATTTTTTGGAGTGAGGGGGTTAGTAGTAGCAAACTTCTGATGATTTTTGTTTTTCTGAGAAGGTCCTTATTTTTTCTCATATAGAAAAGAGAGTTTTTCAGGATAAAGTATTCTTGGTTGGCATTATTTGTCTTGGAATTTTCAAATATGACACTCTATTCTATTCTTGCCCATAGTGCTACTTTAGAGAAGTCTGATGTTAGACTAATTGGTTTTCCTTTATAGGATATCTGATTTTCCCCTAGTCAGTTTCATTACTTTTTCTTTTTCTTCAACTCTGGATGCTTTACTACTATGTGTTTTGCTGTAGTAGCATTCATTATAATAGTTTGGCATCCCCGTATTTCTGTTCATTTCCTTTTTCAAGTTTGGGAGCTTTTCTTCAATTTTTTCCATGGATAGTTTTTCAGCTCCCTGTCTCTCTTCTCCTTCTGGAATTCTAATGATATTATGTCCCCTTTCCTCATGGTGTCAGTTAATTCCCAAAGTATAGTTCCTTTTACTTTGTAGCTCTTATTTCTTTTCTTTTTTGGTTCATTTTATACTGATTCATCCCTCCATTTCATGTCTTCTATTTTCATGGTTTTTTCAATTTTTTTTAAAGCTGCTCTTTGGTCTTTTACCATCCTACAGTTCTTTTATTTTCTTATTAAAGATTCAGTCTCATTCTTCTGTTCATTGACCATATTTCCTTATCACTCTTTTCCTTTTTTTTTTTAGCATATTCTCTTAGATATTTAAGTTTTTTTTAATTATAGTGATTCTATATTCTTTATTTGTAGGCAGAGAAATTCTCCAGTGTTAATATTGTTGGGTCCTAGAGGATGACTTTCTTTTTGTGGTCTATTGTTCCAGGGTGGCTTGCTTGACCATTTGGATTTTTCTTTTTTCCCATTGTTTACTTTCAGATTTGTTCTAGACATAGGGCCATCTGATACCAGTGCTGGTGAGCATGACTTCTTTGCCCTCTTACTGGGGTTTCGATGGATCTACTTGGTGCCTGGGTTGGTAATTGGAGGTGAGGTGGGCACATATCCAAATATGTTTGTTGAATTAATGCATGAGTTTGGGGAGGGGAGTGAGAGCTTAGCCACAGAACAGGACAGAGTGAGCAGCAAAATATCAGGGAACTGGATTTCCAGAGTGAAAATTCTGAGGTTTAACAGCCAGCTGAGGGTGTGGTGTGATGCTAACTCCCAACCTCTCCTTGCTGGACCCCAAGGATGTGTCCTATGTATGTGAGAGTGTGTATTATTTAGAGTGTTACTATGTGGTATGAGTGTGTGTCTGTGTGGCGTATGTGGGAATAATGTAAGTGCATGTGAGTGTACTTGTGCAAAAGTGTGCTTTGTAAGAGTGTAAGTGTTTTAGCATGTATGTTGTGTGAATGTGAGTGCATGACATGTGAATGTCAGCATGTTGACGAGAAAATATATTATTGAGCAAATGATATAACAAAAATTCCAGCAGAACTTCCAGCCCAGGTACAAAGAACACTCCAATGCAGGCATAATTAGCAAGTTTGCTTACTTACATACTTACAGCTCTTTCCCCTTAAAGATTCATGGCCAGGGCCTCAGCTCCTTTCTAAACAAAGTTGCATTTAAAAATGGCCAGGTAGCTGCCCAAGCTAGTCTTTTTCTCCAATGCCTGTCATCTCCGAATGCCTGCATTTCCCCCCCTCTCCCTGTCCCTTGTCTGGGGACTTCACAGCAAATGGTTGTGCCTGCTGAACAAACGATGCTATCAGTGTAGCAAATATGAAGATAGTTATGTATAAAAGAAATCCTTTGTCTTGAAACCAGTGCTCAGACCATATGGGCTACTCAGGTCTGGGACCTCATGCAAGAGTAATAAAGCTTTTCCTGACTTCACCATTCCTGAAGTATTGCTTGTTTTTCCTCTGCCTGGGTAAAAGGCCAGGATTTCACAACAATATGTGGAAGTGAGTATGAAGGTAGTATGTAGTACGAGTGTAGTATGTAGGAGTGTTGTTTGAGTGTGATTTGTTTGCATGTACGTGAGTGAGTATATGCTTGTGTGAGTGTGTGTCTGAGGTGGCAGGGAGATCAGATGAGGGACAGGATTTCAGAACCACTATGCCAGTAGCTTCTTGCATGACGTGATAAGCTGAGCGTGGATGTGGACTTACCTGACTCTCACTAACAGTGACTCACATGAGGAGACACTGCTGGACAAAATTCCTAGGCAGTGGAAGCAGCAGGCACCATGGTTATGTGTCCCTACTAGGAAGTATAGGGAACACTACAAGCCAAGCCTTTGTGGCCCCTCCATCCTGTGAGACTGATGTATTTAACTTCATTTTGGCAGGATGTTCCTGAAAGTCAGCGAGGGCAAAGATACTTGCCTGAGTGGATCTGAGTCCCTTTCCTGATCCTCATGGACACCATGTTTCCTGATTAAGAGATCTGAGTCTATCTCTGCTTTGTACCTATTTTATTTCTCTTCTGTGTCTTGGTTTTTTCATATGTAATTGTACTAATTGCCAAGGTGACTGCTTAACCCAGGTTGGTATAAGGTGATACTTGTGACTAATTAACAGGTCATGGAATCCTGACATGGAATGATGCCAAAAATACACCTTGCTCCTTTGCATGTTTTACCAAAGGCAAGCCTTGACCAAACTTTCTGTCTATTCTTGTCTGTTCTTGGTGGTAGAGAGTTGACTTACTGCACATCTTCCAAAGGGTTAAACCTGGCCCAGAAGCTCCTCCTTCAAGCAACCACACTTTCTGATTGTGGAGTCACTTGCTATATAAGGCCCTCACACATCTGCTCCAACCCTTCCCAGGACCTGTCTTCTACAGACCAATCTCTGGAATAGACCGAGAAGGTGAGCGGCTAGAGCCAGCTATGGGGGAAGGGACAAACCTGAGCTAAGCTGAACTATGGGAAGGGAATACAGGGTTTTCTGTGTTCCAGGGTGTTCCTGTCACTCTCGTTTCTTTTTTTTTTTTTTAATAAAATTGCTTTTTTTTAAAAAAGATTTATATATTTATGCATACAAGAGCTGGGGCACAGGTCAGAGATGCGGGGGGCGAGAAGATCACCAGAGACAGAGTGGGGAAGAACAGGCAGACTGACTGAAAACACTGCTGAGGGGAGCAGCGGGTGAGACAGGAGAGGTCTGCTTCTCCATGTGGGTTGCTCCCTGGCCAGCTGGGGATCGAACTCGTGCTGCAGAGGTTGCGGATTGCTTCAAAGTGCGGTGCTTAACCACTTGCGCCACCCGGGAGGCCCCACTCTTGTTTCTTTAGCAGCACTCAGGAGAGGAAAGATGAAGTGGAGGGGAGCATGGGTGAGCTTTTCTCTATGAATGTGGTGTACGTGGAGTTTGATCTATGTATATGGCGTTTCCCTGTGGGGTTTGTTCTCTCTTTGTATGTGTGTATGTGTGTGTGTGTGTATGTGTATGTGTGTGTTACCCTGTGAGATTTTCTAAGGTGTGTGTGGCAACATGTCCAACTTGTAGGCTTTCGAGCTCTGACTTGAGGGATGGTGGTAGGACCCTCTCAGACTGATTATAAAATATAAAAATAGAATGAGTTAAATCTCAGAGATCTTTGTACTTCATATAGGAGTATACAGATGGTACTTGTTCTATTTTTCTATTTGGGGCCCATGCCCAGAGCCAGCCTTGCTGCTCCCTCTCTTTCATGGAGGGGTGAGCAGGGCCCTGTGTTCTACCACCCCCAGACTCTGTTCTCTCTTTTTTTTTTTTAAAGGTTTACTTATTTGTTTATACAAGCACTGGGTACTGTCAGAAGCGCAGGAGGGTGAGAGAATTCACCAGAGCCAGAGCGGGGAGTAGAGCAGGCAGAAGGACCAAAGTACACTGCTGAGAGGAGCAGTGGGCGGCAGGAGAGGTCTGCGCGCCATGTGGGACCCTCCTACGGCGGCCAGGGAGCAGCCGGGGATCAAACCGGCGCTCTCTGATGTGTGTCCCTGGGTTGTGTCCTGACCTCTCTAGGTCTTTCTTATTTACCTCTGAAAATGATGCTACTCATCAGGTCACCATGAAGCTGAATTAATTTGTGCACTTAATTTGCTGTAGTTGTTGTCTTTTCCTCCCTCTCCCCTTCCTGAAGTCTCCACATTCACAGGGTTGAAAAACCATTTTCAGGAGGTCCAACCACTCAACCTCCATCCCTGCTGGGTTCTGAGCCTGAAAAGTTGAGTAGGCATGGGGGAAGCAGGATGCAGTGCACGCCATGTGTGCCCAAAGTTCCAAACGGGCCATGAGATAACAGATGGGTCTCTTTCCCTGATTGAGCTGGTTAATTTTCCTTTTCACTGACCCCTCCTAAGTCAACCAGGGGGTCACATGAAGAGGGTTGTGTGTGTGTGTGCATGTGTGTATGGTGGTGTGTACATAATGTGGGTATGGTATGAGCGGTTTGTGTGTGGTGTGTGTGAGTAGTATGTATGGTATGATGTGGCGTTTGTGTGTAACAATTGTGGAGTGTGTGGTGTGTGCTTGAAGTGAGCATGTGCACATTTCAAAACTGTATTTTCCCCTAATTCTGTGAATGTTCTGCAAGAAGCATGGCAGATAAAGCATGTCTAACTTGCCGTGTTGGCAGGCTGATGTGTCTTTTGCCTTAAGTTTCACAAAGAATACAAAAGACTGTGTTTTGTCACCCATTGCAAAACTTATTGTACATGACTTAAACAAAGAATTCTCATGTTTTCTGCATTTCACGGTGTAGTGTATTCAGACCTATATGGAACATGCACTTATGAGTGTAAAGAACAGTATCAAGAATTCCCCTCTACCCGCTGGTAGCTTTGGCAGCAAACACTTTGTCTTTTCTTTATATCTGTAAAGAGTTTCATTAAACACTTGGCAGATAAAATTGCCATTCTACTCTTCTACTTCCTCATGCCATATCTTTCATGAGATCCCTGATGCAAGCACCTGTGCCAGCTGCTTACTGCATTGCACTGAGGTGGTAGAATTCCTGACATTGACAGTTCTCGTGGGCATAGCACTATCTTATTACCCCTTCAACTTGTCAAAATCCCATGCATCTATTAAACTTCCCTCTCTAGTTCCTAAATTTCTGCTTGATTTCCCCAGCTTTATTGAGGGATATTTCTCATACAACATTGTGTGAGGAAATTTAAGATGTAAAAATTATGATTAGATACATGCATTTATTATGAAATGAGTAACACAACACAATTAGTTAAGACATCAATCACTATATTATAAATTTTAGTTTATAAGAACTTATTCATCTTATATTGTTTTTATTCTTTGAAAATCTCCCCATTTATCCCAGGCTTCTGCTCCTGGAAACTACCATTCTATCCCCTCTCTGTTTCTATGACTTCAGCTGTTTAAATTTTATTTATTCACTAATTATTCAAGTAATATTGCATTATACCATTATATAAGAGTACATCATTGAAAATCAACATATATCTACTACATATATCTACACATCAAATTCACCACTAAAATCCCATTTTATCCATTACCCACAGTTTTCCAGTTTTACCAAATTTACCTATCCACAACCAGCCTCCCTTCTGGTAACCACTAATTGGTCTTATAGTTTGAAAGCTCTCTTTAGTTCATCTGTTTTTTTTGTTTTCTCTACATATCACATGTGAGTGAAGTCATATGGTGTTTGTCTTTTTCCTTCTGACTTATTTCTCTAAGTGTAATACTGACTAGGCCTATTGATGTTGCTGCGAAAACAAAAGGTGAAAAATATTTCTTCTTCTTTTTTTAATATCTGAGTAGTGTTACATTGTGTATATACCTTAGTTATTCATTCATCTGTCAATGAGTTCTTAGGTTATTTCCAGACTCTAGCTATTTTAGATTCCACATATAAGTGAGATCACCAATATTTGTCTTGTTCTGTCTCTATTTCACTTAGCATAATGAACTCAATGTCCATACATGTTTTCACAATTGGCAGTGTTCCTTCTTCATTCCTGAACAATATTACATTGCATCTATAGCACATCTCATTTATCCATTCATTCCTTGATGGACACTTAAGTTGTGGACATGTGGATGTCCTAGCTATTTTAAATAATGCTGCAAAAAAACCACATAGAGTGCAATAGCTCATTGAGATAGTGGTTTCATTTCCTCTATCTATCTTTCTCCAGAAGTGGGATTTGAGATCAAATAGAATATCTACTTTTATTTTTGAGGAACCTCCTCATTGTTTTCCAAAGTGGTTATACCAATTTATATCCCCACCAACAATGCACAAAGATTACTTTTTCTGCACATTCTTGCCAACACTTTCTTATCATTTTGATAATAGACATTCTAGCAGGTGGTTTTTCTGATTTGTGTTTCACTGATGACTAGTGATATTGAACACCTTTTCATGTACCTGTCAGCCACTTATAATTATTTATTCTTTGGGAAACTGTCTATTTAGTTTCTTTTCTACTTTGTAATTGGATTATTATCATTTTTTGGTTGTTCTGTTGTATTAGTTCCTTATATAGTTTGGATATTAATCCCTTATCAGGTATATGGTTTGCAAATATTTTCTCCCCCTCTACAGATTGCCTTTTCATTTTGGCTATAAATATTTCTGTTTGGAAGATTTTGGTTCATTGTAATTCCACTTATTGATTTTTGATTTGTTGTTCGTATTTTAGTGTCATTAAAAAACATTGTCAAGATTGATATCAATGAATTTTTCCATGTTACATTTACCAAGGAATATTACAGTTTCAGGTTTTATATTTAAGTCTTTAATCCAATTTGAGTTCATTATTTTATTAATAATGAATATGGGGATCAATTTAATTATTTTCATACGTGGATATTCAGTTTCCCAAGCCATTTGTTTAATGTCTTTTTGTTTTACACAAGACCTTCAATAAAATGAATTTTTTAGATTTAGTATGCATAGCATTGAGAGATGAGAGGATAATGCTTTCCAATCAAACCATTTGTTCCAGAGACTATTGTTTCCCCATTGGATGTTTTTGTCTCCTTAGCAAATATTAGTCACTATAATTGGCTTTATTTCTGGACTTTTTGTTCTCTTCATTGGTCTGTACATTTGTTTTTAATGCCAGGAGCACATTGTTTGGGTTAGTAAAGCTTTGCATCATAGATTGAAGTAAAGAAGAGTGATGCCTTGAAATTTTAATAGGGACTGTTGTTAAAATATACACACTACACTAAGTGATATATAGATTCAATGCAATCCCTATCAGAATTTCAAGGACATTTTCCACAGATATAGCAAAAACAATAGCTAGATTTGCATGGAACCACAAAAGACTGTGAATATCCAATGTAATCTGGATAAAAAGGATGAAACTGAGCATATTGTACTAGGAGAAAGGGAAATGAGCAATAAGCTGAAGAGTTAGGAGACCTGAGAATGTATAGCTTGGGGCTTAGTCTCATTTATAAGCATGGAGCAGAGTTCTCGTTTGGGGGCAAGATGGGGAACTCTATCCACAACTGTGGTGACCATCCTGTCACCCCATGCAATATGATGGAGTCTATGGATCCCTTCTCCTGAAAGGAGTAAACCACATAGGATTATAATGATAATGAAACTCAGCTATAAAACTCTTTCAATGTGTGGAATAGTAGTGGATGCACTTTTAAATGAATATATAGGATATCAAGCTCCAGCAGGGGGACTGATACCGTCATGATTTGGAAGCAGTTGAAAAGGGGGGGACAAAGAATACTTTATTGTCTCCAGATGTCATGTGATAGGAAAAAACAAAACCTCATTGATTCAAAGGTGAGTGATTTTTCTGTCGTTTGCAGATCAATTTCAGTTAGAAGATGGTGGGGAAAAGGTGAAAATCCTTCTTCCAAAGCCACTGTGAGAGGAACCTATATTACATCTGGTACAAGGCAACCTCAGTATGAAACAGGTTGCCTTACTGTGGGTCCTCACCTGCACCCTTAAAGGGGACTTATTAAAGCTAAACTGCAGGCACACACAAAAGGTTAATAAAAGGGTTATTTACAAGGGAAGGGGAAATGAGAAATGAATAACTCAGGGAGAAAAAGAGGGAGATAAATTTGTAAATACGTCTCACCCGTTCCTCTAATCTGGAATCCCAATGACACACTGAGCTGGTGAAAAGCTGAATGCTATGTGGTCAAGAGGCCACCCTTGCTCACATGGCTGGTGATATCTCCAAACAGAAAAAAAAAAATATGGCTGCTTAACTCCACCCTCGGGTCCTTGCAACTCTCCCTTTGGTGATCATGGGATTTGTAGTTCCAGTGTCTTGATGGAGTGAGGGTAGAGTCCTTAAAACCTGTATGGAGTTTGCTCAGGACATATTTTGCCCCTAACACATGTAGCCCTGGAATCAATGCCTCTGGAAGTTTCTAGGTATCTGTTCATCTGTTCGACATCGCCTCAGTTGAAATGATAGAGGGAAAGCAACCTGCACTCATTTTACTATCTAGAACCCAGACATGCATGACCATGGGTCAAATGTACAGCCTTTCCACAGGCTGACAGCCCAAGTCCCACTTTTGCCAAATGTAAACAGCTGCCTAGTATTCATCACATTGTTGCTGTGGACAGGGGTGAAGTGTCCACACTATGAAGCAGATTCCTAGTCCCCTTCTCAGATCAGGAAACTGAAGCTCTGAGAAGTGAAATTGCATCCCCAGGCTCACATGGCCTCAGCCACAGAGCTAGAAACCTGGAACATGGTGGAAGGTGATTCTTGGATAGGTGCTGTCATTTCCTGTAAACCCATCCTCAGGAAGGGAAAGATGGGGGTCTTTGCCCCACCTTGGTGATGCTGCAGACTTTTCCACAGACCCCTGGAAGTGTGAGTCTAAAGATGAGTGAGGCTTGGAGTTCATGGAATTCCATAAAGAAAGGCTGAAATTAATTCCTTCCTAAATGTTAGAAAGGATGCCAGGGTCTGTTTGTCTAGCAAATCCTGCTGTGACCTTGTTAAGGAACTAAAGTCTCTTTAAACAGCAGTCACCCTGGAATGGAAGCTTCCATCTGGGTCCTCAAGTCTTGTCTGAGCTCACAGTTCTGGGTCCCCTGAAATTCTTTGTTGAATTTTTTTGAATAAGGAGAATGTGTTCTCACTTCCCATATCTGCAGGGACTCAAACAGAGTTCCTGCTGACCTCTGCCCCTGGGCCTGGCACCCTGCCCTGCCCTGCCCTTGTTCTGTACCCACCTCTGAGGAGCCTGGGAAGACATGCTGTTGCTCCCCTGTAGACAATGGATCCTTCTTCTTCTACAGAACTCAGTTTAGATGAGGCCCTCACAATCATACTCCTCACCCACTATAGACCCCCATAATATCCCTGTACTTTCAGAATCTGTGATCAAGATCAAGACCTGATGCCTGGGGAGAGGCTTATTAAAATAGAATTAAAATACATTTTAGTCATTTTGTTCCATTTCAAATGTTAAGTTTATAACCTAATAATAGATTGGGGGGAATACAGGCCAAAAAAAAAAAAAAGGCAGGGAGATTCCCCTTCTGGGGAAAGGTAAGAGCTTCCCTGGGGCCTTGCTCTAGGGACAGCAGGAGAAAGGGAAGGATGGAGCACAGAGAAAGGGGAGAGTTGAGGTTGAGAAGCAGCACTGAAGAGCATCTGGGCAGTGGTGTCTGCTGTGCCAGGCATTTATACACTGTATTCTTTAGTTCCTGCAGATCTCAGGCAGTGAGCCATTGACCAGGGAAGATCATGAGATGGGATCTTAGAGGTGTTGCAAAGTGCTCTGCAGGGCCGACACATCATGGGGCCGAAGTGCAGGATTCATACTCAGCCTCAGACTGATCTCAAGGCAGACCCTGCTGGGCTCCCTCCCCATGGCCACTATCCCTTGAGTCATGTTTTTTGACAAGTAAAATTGTTCTTTATATCTCTATTGCCTTACAAAAATGATCAACATACAAACATGCATGAAGAAAAGGGAAAAAAATTGAAGGAAATTATGTTTAAACACAAAACACAACCATGAACTTCCTCATGGTTAAGGAGAAAATATATCTTTTGCAGCTAGTATTTGGAAAAGGAAGCATGCTGTTTCTTTGAAAGAGAAAGTTTCCCTCCCTACGCCTTACCCTGGCACTAAATTCTAGAAAGGATTTATTCTCAGGTGACTTAGATGGTGCCATAGGATGAGTGGGCCAGGTCTCCCAAATATCTGCACTGGCCTTTTATTTGACCATGATGGAGGTGGGTGTTGGATGAAAGACCAGGCCAACTCAGTGTTAAAACAGTTGGTGAAGACACCCATGCCTGGCAGGTTCTGATTAAGCCACTTGTTCTCTTCACAGTTTCCTTAGTCTCATTTGCTAAATTCCTAATTGTCAACTTCCCTAGAGAATTTCATGTCAGAATTTCTGAATATTAGAAATGAGTGTTCTCACAATACCTTTTTGGAAGACCAGTGCAATTCACTGTGTTAGGCTTTGTGCCGATATTATATTGAACTATAATGTTTTAATTATTTGATCATTTCAGAATTGAGAAATCAGCCTCTTCATTTAGAGGTTATTTGTCTTAGACCTTTCTAATTAATTGAGAGCTTTTCTCTGTTTCCTAAAGAGTGAATTCTACATCTTGACCAAACCAACCTATTGCTGATTTGGAGGGAACTCCAACATCTTCCACACCCATGCAAGAAGGAAATCCCCAATGAGACCTCCTCTAGAGGAAGGGAGGTCTTCCCTGGGCTTTCTTAATCCCCAAGAATAATTGGGGATTGACAAATGTTCATTTGTCATATCAATGAACAAGTACACAACCCTATCCAACACTTGGGTTTTTGGACAAGAGACGTGAGCCACATGATTCTAACTATTGTGTTCTCACTTGAACCTTCTACAGTGAAGCCATGACTTCATCCTCAGCCCTGAAGAACCTCATATCCACCTGTGCTCTCACCACCTTGATTTTCAACACTGTGGGTAAGGACCCATTGCTCTTAAAAACTGTAAGGGTAAGGTGGACAATACAGGATAAAGTCCATTTAGGAGAGGCCAAATCCTGCTCTAAGAGCAATGATGAGTTCTGCAATTGGAGATCTTCATTTGCCAACCAGCCATGGGTGGTTGAGGGGGGGTAAGCCTGTTCTTGGTGGTGGGTTGTTGGGTGCTCAGGTCTGAGTGGGGCCTGCAGTGGCCCTTTGACTGAGTGCCCATAGGGAGTGGATTTCATGGCATCTGAATTTCAGGAATCTTTGACCATTAGAAACATCAACTATGACAATTGCTCCTATTCATTCCCAAATTACTTCTATTTCATTTCACAGAGACTTATACATGTGCACAGTGTTATGCTGACTGTCATCCTGGTGCGCTGAATACTTGTGAAACTTCTCAAGGCTGCGTCAACCAAAGGCAAGAATTAGTGGATTCAGGTATGCTGTGTTAGTTTTCTGCCCACCTTGCTAGGCACACAGGAGAGATGGAGATGTTTAGAGTGAGGGTGGTTACAGTGTTTGCAACTAGATAGAGTTCCTCACATCCCAGTGCATGTTTGATTTAACCTTGTTTCTTTTGTTGCATCTTACCTGGGTGGACTGAGAGTGTGGTATGGTGGAAGGTCACATGAAGGCAGACTCCCCAGGACAAAGACCAGAGTGTCTAGTTCCACAACAATCTTGTTAAAAGTATGACACTCCCTTTCAATAAATATGCTAATGAGTTATCCCTCCTTTGGTTCACTACATGGACCAATGCAGATGTGCTTAATTTTTAAAAGTGGAAAGATTAAAGACAAAGGGATTTGAGGTACAGAAACCTTTAATACAATATGGCTTTTCCAACTGGATTGGTCTCTCTCTCTCTCTCCGTCCCTCTGTCCCTCTCTCCCTCTCTCTCTCTCTCTTTCTTCTCTTGTTTGGAGAGGAAATTTCCTCTGGTGTTTGCTTCTCTGCAGGGCTGCTCACAGGACGTTTTGATATAAAAGACTGTTCTTCAAGCACTTGTGTTCCCCTTGACTTCTCGGTATCAATGGGGAAAGGTATTTCTTGGGGGTATGTGAACAAATGCTGCCAAAGTGATCGTGTAACCAAGAGAACGTACTAGGTAAGTGTCTCATCTCTACTTTCCTTCCATTCCTACTTCTGTTTCCAATCCACTGTGTTAAGTCTCTACCTTCTAATTATCTTCCTATGGTCTGTTACTTTCATTTTGCTTTTGTTAGCTGATTGTCTTACTCCCACAGAAGGGATGGATATAAGCCATTCTCCTACACAGAGGAATGGGTGGCTGGGATTGATTGGTCCTGGGAACTTTCTCTAACTGCGAGTCTGTAGGCTTAAATTATTTTCTTTCTCATTCCAGCTGAGGGATTGTCTTTCCTCATCTATTTATTTATTACTATTAATTTATTTTTTCTTACATCGTTGTTCATTTTTGTATTATATTTGATATCTCCTCTCAGGTGCTGTCTCCATAATTCTCCCACTACCACAGCACCCATGAACCATCGTCCCTTGTGCTCTTCCCTCCCCCATTTTGACACCTCTCCTGACCCCTTCCCTGCCCTTTGCCTCAGATCTATGATTTGCCTGCATGTCTTGTCTTCTCCCTGATCCTTTATTTGGTTTCTCTATGTTCCTCTTATAAGTGAGACCATCTCATATTTTCCTTTTTCCTTCTGACTTATTTTGTTTAGCATAATCCCTTCCAGCTCCATCCATGTTGCCACAAATGGCATGAGTTTATCTTTTTTGATCACTGAGTAGTATTCCATTGTGTGTATAAACCACATCTTCATCTAGTCATCTGTTTTAGGGCATTTAGCTTGTTTCCGTATATTGGCTATAGTAAATAGTGCTGCCATAAACATCATAATGCAAAATTAGTGATTTTGTGTCTTTTGGGTAGAATCCCAGGAGTGGAATCACTGAATCGTATAATAGATCTATTTTGAGTGTTTTGCGGATCCTCCTCAAGGTTTTCCATAGTGGCTGAACTATGTTTTAATTCCCACCAGCAGTGTAAGAGGATTCCTTTTTCCCCACATCCTTGCCAGAATTTGTTGTGGCCAGTTTTTAAACTATGGGCCATTCTCACAGGTGTGAGTTGGTATCTCATTGTGATTTTGATTTGCATTTCCCTGATTATAAGTGATGTTGAACATTTTTTCATATGCTTTTTGGCCATTTGCATTTCTTCTTTTGAGAAGTGTCTTTTTCGCTCTTCTGCCCATTTTTTGTTTGGGTTGTTTGCTTTGTTGAGTTGTATAAGCTCTCTATGGATCTTTGATATCTGTCTCATCATTTTTGTATAGTGTGCAAATATTTTCTCCCATTCAGTATGGTTACTCTTCATTTGGGTTACTGTCTCTTTTGCTGTACAAAAATTTTTAGTTTGATGTAGTCCCAGATGTTTATCTTTTCTTTAATTTTCTTTGTTTCCGGAGATCTCAAAGATGCTTCTGAAGTGTATTTCATGGGGTATTTTACCTATATTTTCTTCTATATATTTTATGATGTCAGGTGTTACATTCAAATCTTTTATCCATTTTGGATGTATAGTGTCTTGTTTCATTCTTTTGCATATGGCAGTCCAGTTTTCCAACATCATTTATTGAATATACTGTCCTTTTCCCAGTGCACATTCTTGGTTCCTCTGTCATTGATTAGTTGTCCATATATGTGTGGGATCATTTCTGGGTTTTCAATTCAATTCTGTTGGTCAGTGTGCCTGTTTTTGTTCCAATACCAAACTGTTTTCATTATTATGGCTTTGTGGTATAGTTTGAAGTTGAGGAAACCTCCATCCTCCCTCTTTTTAGTTAGAAGAACTTTTGCTATTTGATATTTATTGAATTTCAGCAGTATTTGTTCTATTTCTTTGAAGAATTCCAATAATATTTTTATTGGAATTGCATTGAATCTGTAAAAAAAAAAAATTGCTTTTGTTAGGATGGCCATTTTGATAATGTTTATTCTCCTAAATGTCCTTCCATTTCTTTGTCTTCTTTTATTTTTTTAAATTTTATTTTTATATTCCCCATACAATTGCAACCCCCTTATTTTGTCCCCAATCCTTCCTTTCTCTGCCCTTCCCCCATACTGTGGCTCTAGTTCATCATTGTTTGTTGATTTTGATTTTTTCTTGCTTATAGTTATTCTTTTTCCTGGTCCCTTATTTAGGTTTTCTACATTCCTGCTATGAGTGAGACCATCCGGTATTTTTCTTTTTCTTTCTGGCTTATTTTGCTGAGCATGATCCCTTCCAGTTCCATCCATGTTGCTGCAAATTGCATGTTTATCTTTTTTGAATGCTGAGTAATATTCCATTGTGTATATGTACCACATCTTCTTGATCCAGTCATCTATTTTTGGGCATTTGGGTTGTTTCCAAAACTTAGCTATTGTAATTAGTGCAGCTATAAATATAGAGGTGCAGGTGTTCTTTGGGATTAATGTTTCTGTGTCCTTTGGGTAAATACCTAGGAGTGGAATTGCTGGATCATATGGAAGCTCTATCTTTAGTAGGCTGAGGAATCTCCACAAATCACTAGCTTTCTATAGTGGTTGGACCAGCTTGCACTCCCACCAGCTGTGCAGGAGAGTTCCTTTTTCTTCACATCCTCACCAAAATTTGTTGTTGCTAGTTTTTTTAATATGTGCCATTCTCACTGGTGTGAGATGTTATCTCATTGTAGTTTTGATTTTCATTTCCCTGATTGCAAGTGATGTTGAACATTTTTTCATATGCCTGTTGGCCATTTGTATTTCCTCTTTGGAGAAGTTTCTTTTTAGCTCTTCTGCCCAGCTTTTGACTGGATTATTTTCTTTATTTTTGTTGAGTCTCATCAGCTGTTTGTAGATTCTTGTAATCAGTCCTTTATCATTAGTGTTGTTTGCAAAAATGTTCTCCCAGTCGGTGGGGTTTCTCTTTGTTTGGTTAGTGTTTCTTTTGCTGTGCAGAAGCTCTTTAATTTGATGTAGTCCCAGCTGTTTCTCTTCACCTTCACTGTAACTGCTTTGGGTGATGTGTCTGTAAAGATGTCTTTGAGGTGCATTTCATGTAGTGTTTTGCCTACATCTCCTTCTATGTATTTTGTAGTTTCAGGTCTTATGTCTAGTTCTGTTATCTATTTTGGTTGGTTTTTTTACATGGTGTGCGGTAGTAGTCAAGTTTCATTCTTTTGCCTGTAGCGACCCAGTTTTCCCAGCACCATTTATTGAACAAACTTTCTTTGCTCCAGTGCATATTCTTTGCTCCTTTGTTAAAGATTAGTTGGCCATAAATCTGTGGGTTTATTTCTGGGTTTTCTGTTCAGTTCCATTGGTCTGTGTGTCTGTTCTGGTTCCATACAATGCAGTTTTGATTATTAAGGCTTTGTAGTATAGTTTGAAATCTGGGAGTGTGATGCCTCCATTCCCATCTTTTTTTTTTTTTTCAGGAGGGTTTTGGCAATTTGGGGTTTTTGGTGGCCCATATGAATTTCATCAATAATTGTTCTATTTCTTTGAAGAATGACATTGAAATTTTGATTGGAATAGCATTGAATCTGTATATTTCTTTTGGTACAATGGCCATTTTGATAATGTTAATTCTTCCGATCCATGAGCAGGGGATGTTTTTCCATTTCTTTGTGTCTACTTCTATTTCTTTTAATAATGTTTTATAGTTTTCTTTGTATAGGTCCTTTACTTCTTTTGTTAGGTTTATTCCCAAGTATTTGATTTTTTTGTTTCAATAATAAAAGGAATGGTTTTCTTGATTTCTTCTTCTTCAGACTTATTGTTTGTGTATAGGAAGACTACTGATTTTTGTGCTCTGATTTTGCAAACTCTTTCAAAAAATTGAAAAAGAGGGACTACTACCAAATACATTCTATGAAGCCAACATTACACTAATACCAAAACCCAACAAATACAGCACAAAAAAAGAAAATGACAGGCCAATCTCCCTAATGAACACTGATGCAAAAATCCTCAATAAAATCCTTGCCAACAGAATCCAAAATTGCATCCATAAGATAATTCACCACAACCAAGTAGGATTTATTCCCTGGACACAAGGATGGTTCAACATCCGAAAATCAATCAGTGTTATCCAACACATCAACAAAAAGAAATATAAAAACCATGTGATAATATCCATCGATGCTGAGAAAGCATTCGACAAAGGACAACACCCATTTATGATAAAGGCTCTTGAAATTCTCGGGATACAAGGAACATACCTCATTATCATAAGGCCATCTATGACAAGCCCACAGCCAATATCAGTTTCAATGGTGAAAAGCTGAAAGCAATCCCATTAAGATCTGGAACAAGACAAGGATGTCCTCTCACTACTGCTTTTCAAGATAATACTGGAAATCCTAGCCAGAGCAATAAGACAAGAGAAAGACATACATGGAATCCAAATAGGCAAGGAAGGAATAAAACTATCACTATTTGCAGATTATATGATAATATACATAGAAAACCCCAAGAACTCTACAGAAAAACTTATAAACTAATCAATCAGTTTATTAAAGTGGCAGGATACAAAATTCTTTTATTTCTTTTTAAACAATGTTTTGTAATTTCCTTTGTATTGATCTTTCACCTCCAAACGTAGGTTTATTCCCAGGTATTTAATTTTATTTTTTAGTACAATTGTAAATGGGATTATTTTCTTAATTTCTCTCTTCAGACTAATTGTTTTAATATAGAAGGACTACTGATTTTTTTTTTGTGTTGATTTTGCAACCTGCCATTTTACTCTACTGTTTCTTTGTTTTAATTGGTATGGTATTTCTGTGGAATTGTTGGGTTCAACTTATATATTATCTTATCATATGTAAATAATGATAGTCTTACTTCCTTCCCTATTTGAATTCCTTTTACAGCTTTCTCTTGCCTAATTGCTGTAGCTAGAATATCCAGTAATATTCTTTGAAAAGTAGCAATGAGAGTGGATATCCTTGTTTTGCTCCATATCCTAAAGTAAAAGCTTTCAGTTTTTCAGCATTAAGAATGATGTTAGCTGTGGGTTTGTCATATATATGACTTTTATTGCTCAGGGACATTCCTCTTATCCAAAGTATTTCAAGGGCTTTCATCATAAATGAATGTTGAAATTTATCAAATGATTTCACAGCAATTATTGGCAGGATCATATGGTTGTTTTTGTTGATGTGTTGGATTACATGGATTGATTTTCAGATGTTGAACCATCTTTGTGTCCCTGGGATAAATCCCACTTAGTCATGGTGTATTATCCTTTTGATGCATTGTAGGATTTGATTTGTTAAGATTTTATTGTGGATTTTTGCATCTGTGTTCATTAATGAAATTGTCCTGTAGTTTTCTTTGTGTGTTTTGCTTGGTTTTGGTATGATTTCTTCATCTATTTAATTATTCACTCCCTTAACAATATTGTTGTAGAACATAGATTATTTATTCATTATCTAAACTCTACTTTTTAACCAGGGCAGAGAGGAAAAATTCATGAAGAGGGCAGAAAACACCAAACTCCTAGAAGATCCTTCTGCTCATATCTTGCCACTTACTCTGTACTTCTTCTCCACCCTCTGGGCCATCCTAGTTTAAATGATATTGATTTTGAGAGGAATCCTGGAATAACAATGATCTTGGAAGTGTTTGAAATGTTCTCAGCTCCTCCTTAACATTATTCCTTATTATGACATATTTCTATGCACATTCAGTGCCTCAGAAGTCCTCAGAACCCAATGGCATCACATGTCCTGTCTGCTTCAACAAGAATAATATGGGTTCCTGTAACCCAGTTTCCTTTGCTTGCACTGGTAGAGAGACAAAGTGCATCAAGATTGTTGTTTCAGGTAAGGCTTTTATGCCCACCTCTTTGCCGTTTATCTTCTTTAAGGTTGAAGTGTATTAGTAGCTATTGCTTTGTGATAAGTTACTGTAAAACTTGGCAGATTAACCCAACAAACACTTATTATTTCATAGTATCTGTGGTTCAGGAATCTGGGGATGGCTTAACTGGCTGGTCCTGGCTCAGTCTCATGAATTTCAATGCAGTTGTCATCAGGGGTTGTGATTATTTCCAAAGCACTCATGTCACTGTGTACTTTGTTTCCTTTCTATGTGTGCCTCTGCATAGGCTGCCTGATGTTCTCATGAGATATAAGTTGACTCCTCCCAAAGAGAGTGCCTATGGTAGGGGAGGAGGTAGGAGAAAGGGAAAAAAATGCAGTTTTTAATAATCTAATCTCATAAGTAACACATCATCACTTCTGCTGAACCTTGTTGGTTACACAATCCAATACAACATGGGAGGGGGCTACACAAAGGCATGAATACCATGAGGATGGGAACAATTGGGGCCCTCCCAGAGACTGACTGTTATCAATAGCTGGGGATGGTACAGTGTAAAGAGCAAGCTATCCCTCCAATGATTGGAGAGAGCCATCTGTCAATGAGGAAAGGCGAGAAAAAGCAAGTAAAGGAGAGAGGACAGCACAACTGCTTCCTTCCTGAGAGAATCTGAGACTTGGAACATGTCATATCATGATCTCCTGGAATAGGACCTTGATTCATTAACAGGAGGGAAGGTGACATCTCAGGTTTGGTTCTCATTATTACTACCATTATTGCTATTACCCAAATCCCATCATCAAACACTTAATTTTAGCATGGTGTTACTTTGAAATTTGTAGAATTTGTGAGTTTCCTGATTTGGAGAAAAAGTATGTATTTATGATGAAAAAATATCTACCATGAATATAAGAATTGGAAAAATAGCCATAGTATTGGATTGTACAGCCAGAAAAAAACCTTACCAGTTCTGTACTCAGCCACTTGTAAAAGGTTTCATGAACTTAGTGGTACCTTTGGAGCTGATTAAATGATTGGAGAGTTTGGTATGGATAAAAGCAAGTTATCATTTTTCTTTTCTTTTTTTTTTTTGAGAATATTTGGATGTTTAGTTGAGGTGGAGATGATTAAGGAGATTGGGATGAAATGAAGGTGAGGGCTGTCCAGAGTGGAACAGAGTCTCTACTCCAATTTTCCATGGCAAACACAGACGTAAATAAGAGTAAAGGGTGCTAATCTCCCAAGAAACTCCGGAAAAAGGATTTGACCTTGAGGGGTATCTGCATTGCTTCCCTATGGTTTTCCCAAGGAAGAAGAGATAAAGAAGAGGCAGCTCTCCTGCCACCAGTGATTACACAAGAGTTTCTTTTCATCATAGTTTTTCCTTTGGAAAACAGGAGTGGAGGTCTAGTCCCAAGACTAGAGCTTTCCGGGGCTCCTCTTTCAAGGGCTCCTCTTTCTGCTAGCATGTGTCTGTGTATGAATCCTTTCCTTTTCTATAGTATACTTGCCCTTTGGATATACAAAAAAGGAAAAAAGCAGTTAAAACAAGGAAATTCAAGCTGGACATATGAGTTCTGACCTCCAGCTTTCTTCTCTATCTCTCCTCCAGTGATTTTAGTCTTAATCATACATCTGAAATGTCAGTGGTGTTTGGGTTCTCTCCTAAACTGGGGAGAAGTTAGCACCATTGGGAATCATGATAGAGTTGGAGTTTCAGGTGATGATTCTCTTGCAGAAGACAGTCAGGGATTCTGGGGCACTCTGAATAGTCTTTCCTTGCCCAAGGAGTCAGATAGTATAAGATGTGGGTAGGGAGGGGATAAAAGATGGTAAAGAAGATACTCCTGTATCTTTCTCTTCACAGCTAATCCTGGATTTGTGATTGCCATGGGTTGTGCGACTGAAACTGCCTGCAACTTGAAATCAATGTTCCTGGGTGGCATAGAAGCCAGTACTTCCTGTGTAAACTAAAGCAGTGGGAGCCCCACTGACATCTAGCACCTCATTAATTCTTATTGGTGTTTTTCTGCTGAATGCCTTGCTTTGATTTTTCAGGCCCTGCCACGCTCTTAACTTAAAACCCAGAAAATGTTAGACTCCCCTCCCCAGCATTCCCCAAGATATCTCAGAATTAAAAAGCATGTGCTCCATTAAGTGTGTATCTAATTACTTGCTAGCATTTTATTTTAAAAAGAATTCCTATTGATTCTTCTAATGGGCTCTTTCTTCACCTAGAGAACCATGTTTCAGAGGAAAGTTAAGACAACACCTTTTTTCACTGTTTTTTTTTTTTCAATTTCTCCACAAATTATGTCCCCTTCTCACCAATCTTTCTTTACACTTCTTTTAGTCTTGAGATAAGCACTGTGATCTCCCTAGAGTTGGGCAGGTTCACCATGTCTCCAACACAGTCATAACTGCATCTATGAGTGAGACAACCAAGAATGAGAATATGATGGAATAAGATATCACCTTATGCATTCTGGAAGGAAAGGAGTCCTTGAAAGAAGGAATTGTCCTCTTCTACCAACCTTGCTTCCTGTGGGTCTGAGAGAAGAGGAACAAGATACCATAGTCCACCCTTTTCCACAAGATCCAGAGTGAATTTATAGACAGTAAGATGCGCATCACAGGATCCCATCCCAGGAAAAGTAGTGTGCAATAGACTTGAGTAGCAAAGGTCCACAGCAGAATGTGACTTTGAGTTGGTAGAAGAAAGGCCATGCCAGAGACTTTAGACTCTCAAGAGCTGCCTGAGCCAGGGGAGGGATGTTATTTCCCTCCAGGAAAACCTTGGACACTTTTGAAGACAAAAGCCCCATGAAAAAGAATTAATTTGCTCCAAAAAATTGCATATCATTAAATTTGTAATTTCATTCAGACCATTGCCCTAGGAGGCAGGAAGACACTGTTCAGGGAGAAGAAACAAAATTAAATTAATTATATTCATAAAAATTATTTATGTGTACAAAATACACATTACTTATCCATTGTAAAGAAAACTTTTCATCTATTAAAGAAATAAAAATTCAGTAGTCTAAAAGAAAAAAATTACATCCACTTCAGTTCCAAATCATTTTCTCTGTCTTGCCAAATATAGATTCTATAGAGAGTTAAAGAATACACAGATCTTCAATTTATAGTTGCCTGCTAGTTTTCTCTCATTTTTTCCCCTGATCCCTTATTTGGTTTCCCTGTATCCCTCCTGCAAGTAAAACCATCCACCAGAGAGAAGAAATAAAACATTGCACAAAAATGAACAATAATGTAAAATATGTACAGAAAAATAAATATAAAAAATACACAAATCTGGGCCTCCCTGGTGGTGCAAGGGGTTAAGATGCAAATATGAAGCTATCTGCAGCCTCTGCAGCACGAGTTTGATCCCCGACCAGCCTGGGAGCCACCCATATGGTGCAGCAGCCCTCTCCTGACTCGCCCGCTGCTCCCCTCAGCAGTGTATTTCAGTCAGTCTGTCAGTTTTGTACCCCACTCTGTCTCTGGTGAATCCTCTCACTTCCCACACATCTGGCCTGTACCTCAGTTCTTATGTGCACAAATAAATAAATCTTTAAAAAAATACACAAATATACAAGAAATGACACAGTATTAAAACAGTTCAAAAGATACACGCATACTCACAAAAGGAAATATAACAAGCAATACTGAAATTTGTATGGAAATACACAAAAACTCAAATAACCAGAGCAATGTTGAGAAACAACAAAGACAAAGACAGAAAAACACATTTGAAGACCTCAAATTTTAATAAAAAGCTATAATAATTAAAACAATACAGTCCTAGAACAAAAACAGACATGCAGACCAGTGGAATACAATAGAACTGAGAGCCCAGAAGTAAACCCAAACATCTATGGACAATTAATCTATCACATGGGAGCCAAGAGTATACACTGAAAAAAGATGTCTTTTCAACCAATGGTGCTGGGAAAACTGCACAGCCATATGAAAAAAGAATGAAAAACTGGGTTAAAGGGGACATATCTTAACATAATAAAAGTCATAGAAGACAAACCCACAGCAAACATCATTGTTAATTGTGAAAACTGAAAACCTTTCCATTAAGATCTGGAGCAAGACAAGGATGTACACTCTTACCATTACTTTATAATATTGGAAATCCTAGCTAGGACAATTAAGCAAGAGAAAAACATAAAAGGAATCCAAATAGGTAAAGAAATAAAACTATCATTATTACCAGATGATGCAATGATATGTACGGAGAATCCTATAAAATCCAGGGAAAACTAATTAAAACAAACCATTTCAGGAAAGTAGCAGACTACTTAAAACCAGGGAAAGTTAGGGTTAATTAGACAGCTTCAAGGACAGTGCAGCAGAGACTTCAGGAGAGTTAAAGAGACTTCTGAGATAAGGATAGTAAATTCTAAGTGTGCTAACCAAGGTATACTCCAGAGACAGTTCAGAAAGTCCCAGGGGACTAAAAAAAGAATAGAACTTGAGAGAACAAGTAAACTCTAAGATAAGAGCTGAGAAAATGGGCATATCTGTGTGGAAGAGTATAGCCAGTGGGAGAAAGAGCCAATCACAAAATAGAATGATGAGATTTTATTTATTTATTTATTTATTTATTTATTTATTTATTTATTTATTTTTAAAGTTTTATATATTTATGCATACAAGAACTGGGGTACAGGCCAGAGGTGTGGGAGGTGGGAGGATTCACCAGAGACAGAGTGAGGAACAGAACAGGCAGATATACTGAAATACACTGCTGAGGGGAGCAGCGGGCGAGACAGGAGAGGTCTCTGCGCCACGTGGGTTGTCCCTAGGCACCCAGGGATCAAATTCATCCTGCGGAGGCTGCGGATTTCTCCATAGTGTGGTGCTTAACCCCTTGCGCCACCAGGGAGGCCTGTATGATTAGATTTTAGAATAGAGAAAATAGGGTTTATTTAAGTACCCTAGACACAGGCGCACAATGTCTTCCTTGCCCCT